AGACAAGACAGGACGAGACTTGAGAAGCAAAGCAGGAAAGATAAGGGAGACGGGATCCCTCCGAGACGAGAGAGATGCGTCCGCTTTCATTGAGAGCCAGAGAGAAAAAGCTTCTTTATACCAGTTTCATAAAATAGTTTTAAGTTCAATGTTCAATGAGACTTTTCAGCATTATTCAGCAGGGAGAGAGGAGAGGGGATACAGCCTTGTTGGGAGCCACTTGATGGTTCTAAGGTTTTTTTACTCCCTCACTACAGCATCGCACTTCTTTCAAAATGTTCTCCTGCACAGATCCAACATTGTGTTGTCGGGCCTGTTAATGTTTCGTAGTATCACCACAATAGGTAGAGCTTCTAAAAACACGTTCTTTGTTGTTTTTCTTTTAGTATTGGAGGACTTATTCTGGACAAGACTGTGTCAGATCCAAACCTTGCTGGAATCCTAGTTTATGCTCCAGTTATAAATGGTGAGTTACTCTCTTTTGAAAGTGCATTTATGGGCCACTTTTGTGCAGATACAGATCTAAAAAAAAAAAAGCATTTAATCATCCCTTACAGAAAAAAAATCATGTGTTTCCGTGCATGTGACATGTATGCAATGTATGCAAATATGGCCCTGTTTACACCTGGCATGTGTCTTCTGTGATCCGATCACAAGCGGACAGCTTTTAGTACAGGTGTGAATGCACCCAAGACACATTGAGGACGCATTGAGATCCGATTGCTCAGACCACATCCGGAGGTGGTGGTCAACAAAGATAAGCAGTAGCCTACACGTTCCCCTTAAAAATTGTGCAATTTTGAGAGTTGTTAAGTGAGGAGAAACTTAATAAACTTTGTAAAACAACTAATCATGTGTGCCTTCTTGTAAAATTGGCATTAAATAAAATACATTGAGTTGTTTCTTTCCTCGTAAACATACATACAACATCAGTTTGTCTGTTGGTCGCTGCATCGCTGTCTAAAGTGTGCCTCACAAGCCAACATTTAGCAGCTAGGTGTTTGAACCATAGACTGTATAAAACATGGACGTCACCAATAGTTTTCTGAAGAGTGTTGTAACAAAACAGTCCAAAAGACCTGGACCTCTTGTCAACAAATTAACTTAAAAAACCCTTTTAAAGTACCTACTGGAGTCTGGATAAAAACCCAAAGGAATCTGCATTATCTGATGTGAAAGAATTTAATGGGGCAATAAACCTCACTGACTATCTACTCAAAAAGCCCTCTCCTAGATACTGAATTGGACTTGCTCCTTCACTGAGCCTTGACCGACTATTTTCTTAAAGGAGAATCTTAAAAGGCTTGGAAATAAGCAAGTCATCTTTTGGACTGTTTTCCCCCTAGTGGCAATGTTTTGTATACAGTAGACAGGCAGAATTTGCAATCAGAGGCAATCCTATCTTTAATACCAACCACAGACTGTATTATATATATATAATGTACATATTCTTCCTCCAAGGAATAGTGTGTCTGAATTGGATTTAGAATATCAATTTCCCTTCCATACATAAACTAGGCCCCTGTCTACACTAACTTTGGATAAGTACCTCATACAATCCCACTTAAAAAACAAAACAAAAAACTATCCCATTAAAGGTATTTCATTCTTTGTGTAAAAAATGTTGGGCTGTACAAATGGAAATGCTTGTTTGTATTTGCATGTAAGGAGGGGACGTGTAATGTTCAAGGGTGTGAATAGGGCCTACGATCTTACCGTTGACCCTTCCTCCACCCTCTCTTTCCTGTTCAGGTATTGGAGGAAACCTTGTCTCAATACAGTCCAGTCGTATTTCTACCAATTTGCATTTGAATTACTCACCTAGAGAGGTTCCTGAAGACCGTAGGAGCTGTTACAACCCCTGTCGCACTTTCTTAGGTTCAGGTAAAGATCTATGGGTCAAAACATTTATATGTAATACCCACCCCCCCACACACACAATCTGATGTTCAGCTTTGTCATGGCAGGAGCAAACCACCGATCTGCTCAGATTCTCCTTCTTTTGGTGATCCCCGGTCAGCTTGTCTTTGTGCACACTATACATCTGATGAAAGGAGGCCACACTTTGCCCAGTCCTCTCTTCACTATCGCCTTTTTGTCAGCTTCCCTGATTCAGGTAAGTCAGCCGTGTGGTCATTTTTCCTCTGCATACTTGATTGCTACTTTACTCCTTAACTTGTTTCCGTCTCTTAGGTATTCTCCCTGCTGTGTATAGCTGACTGTATGGTCCACTGTCTATGGCGGAGGGGTAAAGATCCCGACAGTTACTCAATACCCTACTTGACAGCCCTCGGAGACCTATTTGGGACTGCTCTCCTCTCTCTTGCTTTTCTCATGCTGTGGTGCATTGGTGACTCAGGCAGTGTGTAGCTTCAAGGCAAGAACAGACTTGAGGAAAAGACAAATACAACAAAAGATCACATACCACTGGGCAACAAATAGTGGCACATTTACAACTTTCACAACTACCTTAAGGCTAGTACAGTTAAGTGCAACTAATTTTAACTTTTTGGACACTGAACAGAAGGAAATAAACACATAATTATATGTCCCTGAAAAGGAATGTTATATCTTGACGAATCAACTTGTGGTTAACTGTCAACAAAATGTAGAGGAAAATTATTACTGTTTAGTAATTCTCTGTATTGACCTAAGCATGAACCATAGTTATCTGCTTTAATCTTTGTATGCAATCTTTGTATGAACCACAACTTTACTGCTCCAGGGAAGTAGGCCTGGCTCCATTTCCGGCTGAACTGTACCCGAACTCAAAGGCAAACCCCTAATACTGTAGATGACCGAGTACAATAACCACATTATGTGCCAAGACTGAAATATAGCCTAGCCTACACCTAGAACTTCATTCAATTTGGTTTGAGCCTGCTTTTAGAAGTGCATTTTTTACGACTTACTAATGTCCATGATTTAATAATGCCTATCTGTTCATTAGATGTAACTGTTGATCCTTTGTTCTTAAGCGTATAAAAACCCTGGTGAAGATGCACACAGCATCGATTCCTCGGCAGTCGCTGACTGTCACTTTGCTGGTTTCGATCCTTCTGCGCAGAAGCTGAATAAATATACAAAGACAAATTTCTCTTTGTTGGTTTTCCTTTATTCGGTAAAATTTCCACCACACAGAACAGCAGTATAATTAGTGTAACAGGCAATGTGACATAGTGGCTTTTGGATATGAATATACATATTTAGCAGATTCTAAGACGTCTGTCATGTGACAATAATTTTGTTTCACTAGACCAGTGGTCTCTCGAGACCCCCCAGAATAATCAGGTTGGTGTTTAACGAATGACATGCATAACACATGAAAGCTACACAACTCACACAGGTAGAGCATTGTTTTGCACCCCGACAGAACAACAACTAATTCCTGTTTTTATATTTATTAAAATAACTGCAGTTAACCGCAGTCAACGTGTCAGCTTAAGGCCTAAAAGCACAATAATAGATAATAAATACAGTCTTAAATAACTGAGGTAAATGGGCCTGGTGAGAGCTACTTCCTGTGTCTCATTCAGTGCTGCTTGCCAAAATATTTAATTTTATCTTTCACGGTCATTTGACAAACCCCAAGTTGAGAACCACTGTGCCAGAATATAGTTTATGTGGAGCATCACCAATGAAACAGATGCAAAATGTGTTGCTCAGTCTTCCACTTGCAAAAGACATTATATAAATATTATTTTTTAAGGTGGACCAGAGTTGAGTTTGAGTCCCAATATGTTCTGTACCCTACCCCTGTTGATGAAGAGAACTCACTTTGAAAGGATAAAACACAATCAGCCCAAGCTGAGGTTACTTGAGGTAATTGCAACACACAAATCTTATATCAGAGAAGATCTGGTGACAGCATAGGTTTATAATGTGAAAGTAAACAATCTCTTTATATGTGTTTCTGCATGCTTTTGTTAATGTTTTGATTTCAATACCTCAGAACAGACTGACTTAACACATGCTGCTGGCTACGTAAAGCAAATGTTCTGAGAAAGTTCCAAGGAAAAAGACTTCCTATTCTTATAAACCAGCTACACTGGTTGGTAACCATGGGTTCAGACATGCAATCCCAGACGATCTGAGATCTCAACGTCTGTCAGTTGTCTGGAGATTTCTAAATGTAAGGTATGACTACGAGAAAGGCTGTGTAAGAGCAAAATGTGTTCAGGGACAAAGTTCTGGGAACATGAAACAAACAATATTATGTTGTGCTAAGTAATGTCCATTCCTATCTGTAAACAGTGTACGCAATTTATAATATTGCAGTTATCGCAATAACGCAGTATCTATCTAATTGTGTAAAATGATGAGGCAGATATGCGCAGATATGCTCAGACGTGCCCAGACAAGGGCATTGTTCCAAGTTTGTTGATTCTCGAGACAACTCGGTTTGCATGTATTCTGTTTTGATGCAAATAAACCACAGGAAGGGAAGCTGGCAATTCTCTTTGTTATCTGTTTCTGGGTACCTTCTATGGGAGTTTGTGGTCTCTCACTATAGTCTGTAACATACCCCCTTATGTCCAGTCCACACCACCAGTGCCTGTAGTTCATGTGCCTGCGGCGGAACATCTTGCCTATTTTTATTTCCACACCCATGTTAACAGGTTATAGCAGAGTCTGAGCTGTGACTGCATCCCTAGAGAGTCCAGATGTCTCTTATTTTTTTGTGTAGAATATATCACAGACTGTGAACAGAATGCTTTCATATGTTAAAGGCTTTTATTGCGTCGTATTTATCAGTATGTATCGGAGCACTATGGAGAGATAGGACTGGCCGTGTGGTCATCTCCGGCATCAAACACTGCTCATGCATCCTCTGTGGACCAACCGTTACTTCAAGGACCCGCTTTCCCTGGAAAAAATGCTCTTCTCCCCCGCAGTGAAACAAATCAGAGAATAAAACGAATTACTTTGAAACACAGAGAGCACTTTTTTTAAAACATTGAAAAAGGATGTCCAGAGCAACTTTATATGGTAGACAGTGGAATTTGCATTGAAGACTATGATTGATTCTCTAATAGAGTTTTTTTTTACTCTAAATCTTTTTGTTTCCATCAACTTTTAGCAACTAAAGCCAGGAGAAACTCTCATTTGAGTTTATATTAAGTTATCAAATCAAGTTTATGTGTATAGACAACAAAGATTTGACCACATTTTACGGTGGCCCTGAGGTGCAAATGACAACAGCAAATCAGAAAACCACACACAGCACACACCAGCACCACACACACACACACACACACACACACATCACACTCACAACCCACGTCCAGCACACACCACCGCCACCACACACCTTGAGCAACTCACCTGAGTCACACAGAGCTTCGACAGAGGTTCCTTGTTCATGGGGCCGGCTGCATCGACGAACTGGCGACCATGTTCGCGGCGTATGGGTGTTTTGGAATGATGGTGGCAGGTTTGCTGTGTGGCCATCTCTGTCATTTGTCCAGCGAATTTGACCGGGGGGTGACCTTTGACTGATGATTTGGAAGCACGTTGTAGGGGCGGGGAAAGGGGGTGAAAGAGGGGGCGTGGTCCTGTCCTTCTTGAGCGTTGTGGTCAAGTAGTAGTCAAGTAAAACAGTACAGATGTATAGGTTATACCGGAAGTGTACGTAAGGTGATTTTCCAGGGTTTACACATTTCTAAGCGATGTGAAGAAGATGCAAATGTGCTGGTTTTACTTTTGCTGTACCTGTTCTTGCCGCAAAATTGAAAATGCATTAATTCAATCTGCATTTTTGTGTCTTTCTGGAGTATACGCTCTGTAATTGGGAATATGAGGAGCAAGGTGACACACCGCACAGCCTTCGCTGCTAGGCATGCGATGAGGGGCTGGCGTTCAAGCCTACGCGAACGCAGAAGGCGGTGGTCGAACATTATGCATCTGGCCTCAGAGCTACAGTTGACGCTGTGCCAGGCCACGGGGGCGGCAGACATACTGCAGTGGCGTACTGCTGTATCTCTGAGGTAATGGTGTGCTAACGGCAGTACTTTTCCGCATTACCGTTTTGGGATCCATAGCGCCAAGATTTTTTTTTTAACAGGAAAGGCGTCTTGTACCGTTTTTAGTACCGACTCGCTACTACAGGGAGTCTCCATCGCTTGAAGAAAGAGAGGGGTCGAGATTGGCGAGATGAGACTACCTACCCAAGAGGTATGGTGATAGGTTGGGGAGCAATGTTCAGTTTGCAGTTCTCCGTGGAGTATCAGGGCAATGGTTTTGGCGAAACAGGATCTGGATAGGGTTCCTTTCACCTACTTTTCGCCGCCCCTTCGGGTTATCCTGTTGAGGCAAGTTTGTTCTCAGCATCGTGAGATGACGGAAAGTTTCATACCGTATCGGCCAGCCAACATAACGCAAGACTTGGACCGATCCTTCTGGGCTGCACCATATGGATGCAGCGTGTGTGATCTGACCGATCACAAGCAGATTCTGCCTGGCCGAGAGGCCGCATAAAGGA